ATAATGTTTGCGAAACGCTGGCAGTTGTCACAAGCTTTCACAAATTGCTTTGCATCCCGCTCGACAGTGGGCCAATAGTACCCTTGTCGAACCACCTTGGCCGACAACGACTGACGCCAGAGTGGTTTCCACACACTCCTTCATGGATTTCTCTAAGAACGTAAAGGCCTTCTTCGGGAGTCACACACTTAAGCAGAGGCAGGGAGAAGCCACGTCGGTACAACGTTCCTTCTCGGAGTGTGAACCAAGCTGCTCTCCGTGCCATCTTCTTTAGCTCTTTAGGATCTTGCGGTGGATTCCCTTTGATGAACTCCACGATTGGGTCCATCCAAAAGGGTGATGGAGTATCAATCTCCATCAGATCTGGCTCCAAGATTGAAGGTCTGTCCAAGATCTCGACCGGGACCGATCGAGCCAGGTCGGTCTCATATGCTGATGCCAATTTGGCTAAGGCATCAGCATTGGATTTTTCAAATCTTGGAACTTGATTCACCTCGTAAGTCCCGAACTGGGCGAGGTGCGATCTGACCTTGCTTAGATACTTTTCCATTCGGTGGTCCTTCGTTTGGTACTCCTTAATTTGATTTACGATTAATTGGGAGTCACTAAAGACCTTGATGTGCACGGCCCCCAGTCCTCTGGCAACGCGCAGGCCTACTAGAAGTGCTTCATACTCGGCCTCATTATTTGAAGTCGGGAAGTTGAATCGCAGAGCATACTCAAATCGCTCACCACCTGGTGCGAGCAAGAGAATTCCTGCCCCGCACCCGCTCTCATTGGAAGATCCATCAACGTAGATCGTCCACGAGAGGTCGGACTCGATCGACTGGGACGGTGGGGTAAGCTCCGCGATGAAGTCTGCTACTACTCGGCCTTTTAACGCGGTTCTAGGCCTGAACTGGATGTCGTACTCGCTCAATTCCAATGCCGACTTCATCAGACGCCCTGACGTTTCAGGCTTAAGGAAGATATTCTTCAGGGGTAAGTTTGTAAGTACTATAACAGTGTGCGCTTGGAAGTACGGCCTAAGTCTTCGGGCCGAGGTGACTAAAGCGAGGGCCAGCTTCTCCATTTGGGGATATCTGGTCTCGGCCTCAGTCATGGCCTTACTGGTGTAATAAACAGGACTTTGGCACGCACCCTCCTGCTTGGTTAGGGCCGAGCTGACGGCACTATCAGCCATTGCCAGGTACAAGTGGAGCTTCTCTCCTGGCAATGGTTTTGCGAGTAGAGGTGCCGAGCAGAGATAGTTTTTCAACTGCTCTAGTGCTTGCTCACACTCTACCGTCCATTCGAACAGTCCCTTCATCCTAAGAACCTTGAAAAAAGGAAGGCACTTGTCCGTCGATCTTGACACGAACCTATTCAAGGCTGCAATCCTGCCATTGAGGCACTGGAGCTGCTTTAGAGTCTTGGGTGCCTCCATCTCGAGCACGGCCTTTATCTTCTCTGGGTTAGCTTCGATCCCACGGTTGTTTACCATAAAACCAAGGAACTTTCCCGAGGAGACTCTAAAGGCACACTTGGTCGGATTGAGCTTCATTTGGTACTTGCGCAGTACTCCAAAGGCTTCGGTCAGATCGGCAAGATGCGACTTTGACTGCTAGCTCTTGACAAGCATGTCGTCCACATACACTTCCATATTCCGACCGATCTGCTCGGCGAACATTTTGTTCACCATCCTTTGGTAGGTCGCACCAGCATTTTTTAGGTCAAAAGGCATCACCTTGTAGCAGTACAGACCTTGGTCTGTTATGAATGCGGTATGATCTTGGTGTGGCAAGTGCATTTTTTAATTTGGTTGTATCCGGAGTAGGCATCCATGAAGGTGAGCAGCTCGTGCCCGGCTGTTGCATCTACGAGCTGGTCGATCCTTGGCAGGGGGAAGCAGTCTTTTGGGCATGCCTTATTTAAATTCGTGAAGTCCACGCACATTCTCTACTTCTCGTTGGACATTTTAACTAATACAACATTAGAGAGCCACTCAGGGTACAAAATTTCTCGTATATATTCAGCTTTTAAAAGTTTGTTTACTTCCTCAACAATTACATCACTCCTCTACTTATTTACAGGTCTTCTTTTTTGCTTTACAGGTCGGAATGATGGGTCTATGTTCAGGCGATGCACCATGATCTTTGGGTCGATGTCAGGCATGTCCTCGTGAGACCACGCGAAGACGTCCGAGTTGGACCTGAGGAAGTTGATCAGTTCTTCCCTGTCAGTGGCCCCCAGCTTGGTTCCTATGCTTACTTGTTTTTTAGGGCTAAGCAAGGGAACAAGCTCGAGCTCCTCTGTTGGTGGGGAGAACTGCCTTTTGCTTCCCTCGGAAGGTCGTCTTGACTGGTTTGCTCTTCCAGGGCACACACTGATGACCTTTTAAGTGCGGATGCATAACACTCCCTTGAAGTCTTTTGCTCACCTCGGACCGTGCCCACTCCATTCGGGGTTGAGTACTTCAGGACTTGATGCAATATGGAGGGGACGGCCTGGAATGAGTGGATGATGGGTCTCTCGAAGATGGCATTGTAGGCCAATCTGCCGTCAATCACCACGAACTCAGCCATTTGAGTTACCTGTGTACTATCTTGCCCAATCGTAACCGGCAAGTCAATACACCCTTCAGGAGAGACCGATTCTGCAGAGAATCCAACCAAGGGTGTTGGACTTTTCTTCAATTGAGATCTGGTCCCCCGCAAGGCCAGATATGTCGGGAGGGACAAAATATTGGCAGACGCGCCTCCATCTACCAACACTCTTCTGACCAAGACATGATCGATAAGGGGAGCGATCACAAGTGCATCATTATGAGGCAAGTGAACTCCCTCCAGATCGGTATCCTTGAAGGTAATGGAGCAAGTAGGTTTCTGCTCCCTGATAATGGATACCTTGCGCCTGGCCTCGCAAGCTAACTCTTTCCTTTTGTTCTCGAACTGGCCCCCACTTGGACCTCCGAAAATAGTGTTGATGACCGCAGGTCGGTCCTCTCGTCGAGGCGGCGTCCTTGAACGCTTCCTCTCTTCTTTCTTTTCGACCGAGTTAGACCTCGGTTTACCCACGAACTTTTTGAAGTAGCTATCTTGAATGAGGTCTTCAATCTGGCGCTTCAGCTCCCAGCAACTTGTCGTATTATGGCCGTGATCGCGATGAAAACAACAATATTTATCTTTGTTGCGCTTTTCTGGGTCTCCTCGGAGCTTCTCAGGTCGCTTGAGGAGCTTTTCCATCCCGCTTTCCTCGATGTTTGTGAGTATCTCAGAGATGGGGATGGTGGTTGGGGTATACCGTTCATAAGGTCGGCTCCGGCTAGGGCCGCTCTCCGACCTACGATACTCGGTTCGGCTGCCAGAAGAGGACGATCCCTTGTCCTTAGACTTAGAATCATCCTTCCTCTTCTTTTGGCTTAGCCTCTTCTGGTCGATCTGCTTCTCAGGTCGGTCAGTCTTGGTTCGGAGGAGTTCTTGTCCATCGATGACTTTCTTTGCGTTTTGCAGAACTTCAGCGAAGGTTGCTGGAGCCTCCTCTCCGAGCTTCACGGTGAGGGTCTCATCTGCCAGGCCGGTGAGGAAGTATCACATGGCCGAATCATCGGAGCAGTGCGCGACCTTCAACTGTTCCTCCTGGAACCTCGTGACATACTCTCTCAGCGTCTCGCCTTCCTTCTGTCTAATGGTGGCGAGGTGAGTTGCTGTCTTTCTATCGTAATGCCGAAAGGAGAATTGACCAATGAATTCCTTTCTCAGCTGCGAGTAGGTCGAGATCGACCTGGCCGGCAGTCTCCGGCACCATAGGCGCGCGCTGCCGGTGAGCGCGATCTGGAAGGCGAGGCATTTGATCGCATCTGTTGCCGCTTGAAAATCCATGAGGCCCTCGAAGACCTCAACATAGTCTTTGGGATCCTTTGACCCATCATAGGGCTTCATGGTGGGAGTCTTGAACTTCGGAGGGATTGGAGCCTCCATAATATCGGAGGTGAATGGCGATTCTCCCAAGTCGTCATCGTCAAACGGGCTCTCCTTCTTCTCGCACCTGGCTTTGAGTGCCTCGACCTGCTCATCGAACCTGTGTTTCATCAGGTCGAATTCTTCCCTGTTGATCACGGCTTCTGGTATTAGAGGCTTGTACTTCGATTGAGCCTTCAGGTTTGAGTTGGAAAACTCTCGGGAGTAGGACAGAGAATCTTCCGGTTCCCAAGAGGCTTTCTTCTTCTTATCAGTGAGGTGCTTTCTAAGATCATTGTCTCGCAAGCTGTAATCCACCCCTTCATCGTTGGGAATGGGCTCGCGATTGCCAGGTTGGATAGATGGAGCTCCCTTTTCACCAGGTGCCCCCGGGCTATAGAGGGAGATGCAGTTCGGTTAGAACGCGTTGCCTCGGCGTACATTTCTTCCATTGTGCGCAACCGATGGCGCATATCATCCAACTCGCGCTGGAAGGTAGACAGAGCTTCAGGGTCTGCTGCCTGGTTGGCCCTTTGGGAGGTCTTTCTCGACGTCCCTCCTCGGCCTCTGTTGGCTTTTGAGGGTTTCGGGTGAGCAGGT